TCCCTGTCGTCCCCGCAGCCAGTACCTTCGCAGGGAGCGGGCTGAGGTCAGGCGCGCGGGGCGCGGGCCACGCTTGGCTCATAGTAATAATTAACAGCATTCCAGCAGCGCTTGAGAGTTCTACAAAGTGATGCTCATTAGTTCACCAGACCCTGATCATTGCTGGAACCCCAAGTGTAGGCAGAGGCACAGGACCGGTGGTTACCCCCTTTACAGACACCAGGCTTTAGGAGGACTGGACTTGTTTGACCCGGGTCACCAACAATGGCTGAATTGGGCAAAGGGTCCTGGTGTCCAAACTCTGCTCCTGTGCATGGTGCCCTGACCGCCTTTGATCCCTCTCCCCAAAGAAACCAAGAGGAGGTCCACACACCTGCACCCCGCTTCCTGCCAATGAGGCAAGACTTGGCCATGCAGGCCCAGGAGAATTTATTTCTCCTCCTGCCTTAGCATTTATTTTGGGGCCTGGGTCCTTTTGCATTTGGAGAAGTCATTCCCTATAGACTCTTTTATTTTTATTTCCTAGTCTTTAAGATTTCCTTACCCAGTGCACCTTTAGAAAAGGTGAGAAAGAGGGGGTCTGCGGAGGCACCTTTTCCAAAGCCAGTAGAATCACACCTTTCTTCATTCTCATCAGTCAGCCCTCAAGACTTGAGATGCATAGTATTTTGTGACCAAAACAAGGCCATATACTCAGGCCTCAGTGGCTGTCCCCTCTGGCATAGCTCTCCACCCTGTTAGAAACTCCGAAAGATTCAAAGGGTGTGGAGATTAAGGACTCAAAGAATTTAAACTCAAGTTTGCACAGTGCTTTATAGCACTTTTCACCATATTATCTTATCTGATCTCTGTGTGGCTGCAGCCGGCCTCCTGGTAACAGAGAAGGACATTTCAGCAGAGTTCAGAGGAATCTGCACACACTGTTTGGGCTTGACCAAAAAACAAAAAACAACCTTGGGAATATTTAATGATCACCTATCTGGTGTGGCAGACCGGGCTCTGGGCATTCTAAAATTTAGTACTCTGAGCCACACTACACGGTATTTACCCATTTTGTTGATGGTGAGATAGAGGCTCAGAAACTTGAAGAAACTTAATTTGTTAGACACATATTGAGTGCCCATGGATTTCTAGGCCTGGGTCAATGTCCATGAACACATTAAGGATTCAGGCCTTACTGAGAGTGGTGTCCAGAGATCAGAAATCCTCACTTCCTTAGGCCTTCAGGTCCTGGGATGGCAATTCCCCACTTGCTCTGTGAACAACCCCCCCCCTCCCCACTCTGTGGAGATGAGCTTCCCTGCTAGGGGGTCAGGCAGTTTGGGGCTCTGGGTGTGACCTTCAGGAGAGAAAAATCCAAGATTCTGGAGAAGGGATTTAATTTAAAAACAAAAAGTGGTTCCTTTGGTGCTTTGGGCCTAGAAATGGCAGTGGGAGCCCTGGGGCAGGAGCCTGGGGCAGGAGCCTGGGGCAGGAGCCTGGGGCAGGAGGGAGCCACCTGCCTGGCCAGGTTTGTTATTTGGAGGAAGTAGGGTAACTGCTGTTTTGCTTTGTATAACCGCATCCATCCTTTGACTGGTTGAGAGAGGGGTGGCGAGGTAGAGAGTGTTGAGAGGAAGCCTCTGGACTTTATGGCTATGATACACATGTGCAATCCCTGTAGCCCGGGTTTTATCATTCAAATGCAGCCTCTAGAGCGGCCAGGATGACTGTTCGGGGCACAGATTTCTTCCAAACAGAGAGTAGGCTCAGGCTTAGACTCTAGGAGCTTGGTCCTGAGTTGAGACAGCTGGGTCCTCCAGAGAGCTAGGTCAGGTTTGGGAAGGGTGAAAGCGGGTCTCTTGAGTCTCCCCACGGTGTTGTTAGTTTATTTGTAAATTACGAAGTAGGTGCCCCACCCCCACCCCCCCGTTTATTTAGGGATTTGCCTACGCAAAAGTCTACACTCCTGTGGTAGTTTCTTACCCATCCCTCATCCAGATTTCTGGTTTTGATGGATTGCAGAACCTACTACTTGCTTTTCAGTCCCGAAAACGATGCTTCATAATGGTCACATTAGGACAAATCCAGTTCTTGTTGGAAATGGAGGCTGGGTGGGACTTGTTGTATCACCCTCAAGTATGAAGTGTAAACTCTTTCTTGGGCCATGGAAGTAACTAAACAAGAAATGTGACATTCTCCCCGTGAGTACTTTGGAGTTACTACTGTGGCTACTTTGGGAAAATTAGCATAGCTCGTAAAAGCCAAATGCAGAAAATTAATTGTTTAGCATTCTGCCTCTCAGCTCCACACTCTTGCCCCCGCCTCCCTTTGAGGAAAAGAAGCCCCAAGTTAGTTGAATACCATGGAATCACAAAGATGCCCCGTCCTATGACTTCCTATAATTGAATCCATTTTAAATATGGAGGTTGGATGCCTTTGGCATACCTTTGTTTTGCGTGTTATTCCCTCTTTCTAAATCCTGGCGACAAACTAATCGTTTACACGTTTGCTCCAAACCAGAGAATGGGTAGGGATGACTAAGATGTCATCACATGCTCTCAACTCAGAGGCAGCATGATTTCCCCTGACATTTACATTTATGAGCGAGCTAATTTTTCCCTCCTTCTTAGTAAACTTTATATTACAGAAGCACCAGGCCAAGAAACTTATCCCACGTTCAGATCTGTAAAATGATGTTCAGGTTGTATAATCTGTAGACTGGATGGAATGACAGCTGCATGGCTGTTTATTGCATGGGGCGGCTCCCAATCCAGAGATGCTATTAATTTACCGCAGACCTTATCTGCACGATTATCCTTCATAAATATGCTGATGCGCTCCAACTTTTCCCGGTGTGGAGAGGGGACCAGCGCAGTTTAGAGGACCCTTTTCATTTTTCTTCTTATGGGATTATCTCAGCATTGTACAGAAGTGAGGATTATCATGAATCCTGCCCCCCCCCCCCCCCCCCCCATTTTAAAGACCAGAGAAATGAAGCTCAGAGGACGTGGGTTTTGTTTCTCAGAGAACATTCAGCTCCCTTGGCTCAGGAAGGGTCCGCTTATAGATACTCTATTTCCATTATCCATTATGCTGTGGGTTCCCATATAGATAGTTCTATGCACTGTTAAAATCCCAAGCTTTTTGTAAGAAGACTCGGTTTTTTAAATCAAGCAACTTATCCACTTAAATATGGTACTTCTCCCACAGTTTTGACAGAGGTCCCTTTCTGAAAGATGAAGAGAGGAAGGTCTGTGCAGGGGTGGACACACCTGGAGAGAAAGCCACTTTTGCTAATTCCCTCCCTCTCTGTTCTCTAGGACACATGAGCCCCACCACCTGCACCCTGCGGAAACACAAGACCAATCGGAAGCCAAGAACCCCCTTTACCACGTCCCAGCTCCTCGCTCTGGAGCGCAAGTTCCGCCAGAAACAGTACCTCTCCATTGCAGAGCGCGCAGAGTTCTCCAGCTCTCTGAACCTCACAGAGACCCAGGTCAAAATCTGGTTCCAGAACCGAAGGGCCAAGGCAAAAAGACTGCAGGAGGCAGAACTGGAGAAGCTGAAAATGGCTGCAAAACCTATGCTGCCCTCTGGCTTCAGCCTCCCTTTCCCCATCAACTCACCCCTGCAAGCAGCATCCATATACGGAGCGTCCTACCCCTTCCATAGACCTGTCCTCCCCATCCCGCCTGTTGGACTCTATGCGACTCCAGTCGGATACGGCATGTACCATCTATCCTAAGGAAGACCAGCTCCATAGACTCCACGATGGATGTTTGTTTAAATGGGTCCCCCCTCCCTCTCCAAGAAGGCTGTACCAAGCCGATACTCCTGCTCCTGCTCCGCAAACTTTGCATGCACCACCCTAAGTGGCTAGGCCCACAGGGCCACCGACATAGTTCGCATTTCTTTAGGCTGGAGGCACCAAGTCCCATTTTCTTGGTGTCATCTCCTAGATGCCCCCTTCTCCTTTCACACAGATTGGCTCTGATGGTTTTTATATATAAATATATATGTAATAAAATATAATACATTTTTATACAGCAGACGTGAAAATTCAGATTATTTTGAAAGGCAAAATTTATATGCATAGTATCTATACTTTTTTTCTATATATCACCTTCCTAAAAGAGTCCATTTGTTCTTAGAGGAGGCACAGACTATTCGCTGAAATTGCTGACATTGGGTGATTTTGATGGGATGATTGCCTTCTGCTTATGGAAAACAAAAGATTCGAATTAGAAACACGCCTAGGAATTAGATAACGGAGAGATTCCTCAAGAAGACGGGGACACATCATGTTTTTGCATTTTTACACGCATTAAAAAACACATTAGGTACTACCATATTTGGCCTTCTATTTTTCCCTCTTTCTACATTGTTACAGATTGTTAAAGTTTTAACTTTTTTTTTTTTGTTTTTTTGTAAGATCGATAAAAGGGGGTTGGGGGGGGATGAGAAGAGTCCTAAGGATGCCTTGGGGTAAGGTGGGACTTGGAAGTAACTTCCTAATTCCTCCCAAGGCTGTTGCTTAACTCCATTTCAGATAATTGGAGAGTACAAAGTTAAGGCCTGTCGGGGGAATTGACGGGTTCTGTGAAATACTAGGTACGAGTCAGTCCTCACACATTGCAAAGGTGACTGGGGGGCGGGGAGCGTAGTTAATTTTCTGCTTAAAAAAAAAAATATCTTGTAACCATTACCTATATGCTGAATATTCTTGAACAATGAATAGATCCAGAAAGAAAAACAAATCCTGCTTTCTCTGTGTGTGTACCTGTTGTATGTGCTAAACTTATTAGAAAAATTTATATACTTTTTAACATGTTGGGGGCAGAGGGGAAAGCCATGTTTTGACTTGCTAAAAAAAATGGTCTTGTCAAACAGCCCATTTAGCTCCTGGTACTTCATCTTTCTATCAGTCTCCCCCTCCCCCCCCCCCCAGTATACTTTTATCCCTTTGAAAGGGTGCCTTGTATAATTTTATATATTTTATTGAAGAGTTATTTCTTATCTCTTATTCTGAATTAAATTAAACATTTGTTTTATTGCAGTAAAGTTTGTTCCAAACAATTATTTTAAAGGGTGCTCTCTGTTCTTAGCTGGGTTCAACTCCAAAATGCCCCCAAGACTGGGGGAGGGGGCCGGTGATTTTTATTAGGATGTTCCTGTGAATCAATGAAGAGTTGTGCCCAGATTCAGCCTGGGTCGGGGGAGTCGATCGCCAATAGCGAACCAAGTACTTGGAGATAATTCCTCTGGCTGCTTGTGTTAGTCGTGGAGAAGAAATGGAATTGCTGTTCGGTTTTTCAAACTCTAGTGAAAGATGAGCTTAGAAGAAGGGGGGGGGGGGGTCCAGGGATCTGAGAGGTTGGTAGATGATCAAGGGAAAATCTTGAACTTGAAATCTGCCAGCTACCAAAAGGGCAACCGGTTTAAAACTGGGGGGAAGGGACCTATAGCTCTTTGCAAATGGGGATTGTAACTAGATGCATTCCCTGGGTTGGGAGGTGGGGGTGGTTGCCTGCTGCCCTTTCAGGAGTGTGTCAAATCGCATTCCGTTTACCATTCCTCACTCCTTCCAAGGAGATGGACCCCGAACAAATGCTCTTTTCGGTTTGAAGGGGGAAGGTGGTTCATTCAAGCCCCGTTTGCTTTGCAGCCTCCCTTTCCACTGGGTACAGAACGGGGTCAGGCTTGGGTTTTGAGGCATCACTATTAAAGAAAAAAAAAAAAAATCGCAGTGGGTGAGGGAGGCCGAGACGGATCTTAAATTCCGCTTTTTATTGCACAAACAAATCCGAAGTGGCTACTGATGATACCTTTCTGAGGTCTGTTTTCGGATGAGAAACGACGGTGGCCCCGGGAACGCGGGCAGAAGGGAATCGAGAACTTCAGGTTGCGGAAGCGGATGGTAGGCAGATAGAAACCGGGCATCGACCAGGACTGGCGCTTTTCCGTCTCACGTTTTCACTGCGCCGACACCCCGTTTGGAGGTGGGCGCCAGGGACTGCATTTTCCCGCCCGGCGGAAGCTCCCGCGGGTCGGGCGACGAGTCTGAGATCTCCCAGCTCCAGCGCGGAGCGAGAACCGAGCCCACAGACCTGCTTCCAAGCTGGGGGCCGATTTCTGGCCGCTGCACCGCTGCGCTCCGGAGCTGAGCCCCGGGAGCGTCCCAAACCTCCCCAGTTTTCGCCTCTGCCATCCCGATGGGCCTCCTAATCCCAGCCCGGAATCCAACCGCCACGTTGGGTCCCTAATTAGCCCGTCCACCGAGCTTCCTTCCCGGCGCCGCTCGACCCCGCAGCCTCGGGCGATCTCAACCCCGGTTGGGGGATCCGGAGACTGCAGCTCCGGGTTAAGACAGGTTGCCCTCTGGAGGAGGGGTTCGCAAACCAGGGTACGATCAGGAGAATTGAGACTGCGACCTGCGTGGCCGATGGGGTGGATTGGAAACGGTCTGGGCGACTGCGCATTAGCCCAATCGCCCCAAATCCCAAAGGAAAACTGAGGCCGGGAGCGAGAAAAAAAGATGTGGCTCAGGCTCAAGCATACACATCCCAGCGCTACCAGGTGGATGGGGTTACCGAGGCGAGGATGCGGCAGGGCTGCGGGGACCTCGACCACAGCCAGAGGCCCCCGGGGCCCAGGCGGTGCGGCTGACTCTGCGCCTCCCTTCTAACCTGCCCCGTGTTCGGGTTGGCGGTCGCCTTGGTCCCCACCTGGGTCAGGCTCTGTGCGCCAGGAGTTCCAGAGACCGGACTAACAACCTGAGGCAGCAGGACAACCCTGATTCACCTGGGACCCGCGAAGCCGTGCCTTGGGACTTAAAGCCGAAGATGCCAGTCCTCCCGTACTTTCAACGCTTTCACCAAACTCTTCTAGAAAGACAGCTCTGCTTTGGGGAAAGAGGGGAAGAAGAAAGGAGAGGAAATCACATTTATTGAGCTCCTGCTCAGTGCGGACAGAAGTAGGCATTTCCTCGCACATTTCATCGAATCCTTGCACACCCCTTGGGGGTGTGTTATTGATGCCATTTCATAGATGAGAAAACTGAGGCTCAGAGAGGGTACTCACTAAGGTCACAGAGCCAGTAAGTGACAGCAGCAGAACTGAGGCCTAAGCATGAGCCTGGTGGAGGGCACGAGGGCTCGCAAAGACAGGCCCTGCAGAGGCTGTCTTAGACATAACGTGGGGGTCTCCAGAGCTCCCCAGATTCCCAAACCCGAGAGCTCATCTCCGGAGCATTACTCTCCATCCCTTTCCCCACCTCACTGGCCAGCGGGGCTTTCCCTATCCCTGGGGACCTGGGACTCAGCCTCCCCACCCTCCCCATTCCTGCACCCCTGCGGAGGCGATGCTGGGGCAGGGCCGGCAGGAGGTAGGCAGCGAGGGCCTGGCTGGCTGGGAGCAGGCATTGGCAAAACGTCTGCCTGACCTGACTGAAAAGAGGATCCTTGCCTTTGAGCAGAACCTTGTCTGACCGAATGAAAACTCCCACGGCCATTCTTTGCTATAAAAGCCGCTCATTTGCCACGGGTTGGAGAGGCCATTCCCCAACCCCCACTCCCTCTCCATTGCTGGGTTTGGAATAAACATAAACCTCATTTATAAAAGAACCCACGTCAGACACACACACACACACACACACACACACACACACCCCCTGAAATCACAGGGCCCAGTTGGTGAAGTTGATTGTGCCTGTGTCCTTCTTCAGTGTAAAAAAAAAAAAAAAAAAAAAAAAAATTTCCAGATTGGTGATGCTGTAGGCCTCTTTAATGAAATTGGTCAGACAGCAATGAAGAAAAGTCGGCTGTCAACTCCTGGACCCCTCTCCCCCTCTCCCACCCTACCCCACCCCCTCACCTCCTCCTTACTAGAAACTAAATAAAAAGCAGTAAAATTACTTTCCGAAATAGCCCGCTTCAAAGCAGAACAGAGTACCAGGCTTCGGGAGTCCTGAGTCTTGCCTTGATAAGGTTCATAATAATCAAATCCGAACTCCATCCACCTCCTCTGACTCTTGCCAACCTCCTCCGGACCCCTCTGCATTTGTTGATGAAAACACTTTGATGTCCTGAGTTCTCCAAACAATTATTATTATAATTTTAAACAACCTGGTATTTTCCATTACTAACGGCTCGGGCTTTGAAGTTACACCTCATAATTTCCTAAATTAAATAAATCATTTTAAGTTTGCACTGGGAGGCTTTTAATAGCGGAGAAAGGAATATCATTATCTTATTGAGACCCAATTGTGGTGGCTCCAGCTTGGCTGTAGCTGGGGGCAAAGTAGGCTCACTCTAACAGACATACTTTATTAACCTCCCATAACTCTTGAAAGAACATTTTTATATTTTCTTTGATTTCCCCCCTCCCTCTCTTGTTTTAAAGCTGTCCCAACCTTTAATTAGTGCCTAATATGAAAAGCATTATTTTTTTAATGCTATGTAATTTACCAGCGGCAACAGGCCAACTTAACAATTGTTTATTAGACTTGGTTTTTCACACAGGGCAAAGAATGCCTCTCCAAACCCAACTTTTCATGGGTGGTTGCACTAATTAATACAGTGTCTGAGGCTCCTAGGGGGTTTTTTAATATTGAAGCCTATGGGGGCGGAAGGGGGTTTTAGAAGTCCAGCTCCTGCCGACGACGTTCTCGCTCTGATTTCTTTCATGCTGTTTTGATCCTGTCTGTGGAGTCAGCACAGACAGAAAGTGTTCCCTGGCTCCGGAGAC